TGCTAAGTCAGACTGCGTCCAGCTTATTCATCTTTTGGGCCAACAAAACTCTCAGTGACTTGTTCTTGCCTCCTTAGAAAAACAAAGTTTGATAAAAACTTTGGGTATTTTACAATACTTAAATGAAAATACAACTTTTAGTTTAATAAGAAATGATGCTATACTTCTTGGCTTTGGGGACTGCTAATTTAAAAGGTAGGCTGGCTGAGCAGGTCGACCTTAGCAATGCTTCATTAATTTTCAGATCCATTTGAATTATTTCTCCTCAACTCCCTTCATTAGCAATTTGTTTTCCTTTAGACCTCTCAAACAAAAAAATATATAAAACAACAATTTAGGATAGAAAAACAAATGAGAAAGAAGCATTTGTGTATTTACTGACAATCTGAATTCAGAGGTTTGATGACAAGAGGCCTTAATCTGTCCTTCATCTCGTGCTCTCCTTCGCTTGGATTGTGGAAACATTCAGAGTTTACTGATCCTAGAACACCCCTCTTTCCCACCCTCACCCCGAGCCTGCCTAAGAGTAATCCCTAAATCCAGATGAGAAAACCAATTCAACTGTGAAGTTTATGGTATCAAAATCACATTCTTTAAATTTAGTAAAAAAATTATTCAAAATTGGAATTCCAACACTTGAAAAGTAAGCAACTGCTTTTACAAGTGTGGTGTTTTTCCACTGTCCTCATCAGTTCCCGGGGGAAATTCCAAGAGGAAGCGACGAAGGATAAAGAGCTTTCTGTATTTCTCTTGGTTTTAACTGCTAAAACAATTTTTGTTCCATTAGGTTTGTAATTTGAGATCTTTCAGAGTAAATTTACACAACAGCCTCCGACTTTATTAATTCATCACAACTAGTGTAGTCTTCACATCTAAAAACAAATTGCTAGCTGCTCATAAATTCCATCATCTACTTATACTAACACTGAAAATGGTTAAGTGCAAAATTATTCCAGAATTACAAAGACTATTGGACTAGCATGACATAACTGTATATACATGGGATGCAATAAATAATTACTAACTCATCTTTCTAGGGTTCTACTCAGATTTAGTCTAGCATCAATCTAATCTATCAGATAATGGTAGCCAAACACAATGTGAAATAGCCCCTGAGAGGCCAGTCTGGCCAGTGGCCTCCAGAGAGAATGAATCCCTTAGGTCTTGAGGAATGACAAATACCCTGAGATATTATCTAACTGCTTAACTAAAGTATCTCCCAAGATGGAGGTCAATGCCTTTCTGGTTATGCTTTTCATATTCATAGAATGGGGAGTTTACAGAAACATGGCTATTAGGCCTCCTCTAGTAATAAATACTTCAAAACTCCCCAAAGCAGATCCATTGGCAAATTGCTGCCTTGCTGCAAGAATTAAATCCCTGATTAAACTCAGTTTACCACCTTCCCACTTCCATCTCCAAATTCTGGAATGGCAGACAAGTTAATTACATCACTGAGCTGCAGAATGGTGCTGTGTTGGCCAATTAAGAAGGACATGTATTAAGTCTAAAACTGTACCCCAAATAAAAAGAAGAAATTTGAAAGAACATTTAATGTCATTATTTTTTTTTGACTCTCAGGTTCTCAGATCACCAATCTGCCTTTTAAGTCAACAGAGTGAGGAAGACTTTAACAAAATGAATTGAGTAGAGGGGAAGGAAGTGAGTTGGTCTCTGGAGCAGTTATTTTTTTCCATTACAACTGTGACAAAGTAACTAAATTAACTTCATCCAGGGAAATTAAACGGATTTTTCACTACGTAGCCCCTTGTCCCACCCCCAAATTTACAAAGTCCCTAAAACTAGTTTTGGAACTATTTGTATTTTGTTGGGAACTCCTGTGGGGCAAATTGTAATTGATGGTACCACTTGTCTAGAATACATCAATCAGACACAAACTGTTCAAGCAATTTTGAAACATTATCTGTCACTTAATTTTGCTCTTGGTTTTCTCAATGGGTTAACAACCCAGAGCAGCTGAAACTCTAAAAAGAACTTCTGCCAAACACCAAAAAACAAAATACCTATATCAAATTAAAATGTTCCTATTAGTAGCCACTGAGATTATTCCAAGAGGAAATAATTACAAACCAACGTAATTAGTAGATAGACTAAAAGCAATGAATTTAAAGCAAATATTAAAAACACTAAACCCAGCCTATAGGTGATTAAAGGGTTTTCAAATATGCAAAGATCTGAAATATGAAAAAGTCAAGTTAATAATAGGCACAAATTCTCAAATTTTGAGGGAAGTTGGGCCACTATTTCTTCATAATAATCTCATAAAGTATTTCATTGATCTCATTTTATTAGTAACAAAACTTAGTATTCTAAGAGCTCAAGTCATTTGCCCAAGTTCACACAGCTGTTAGGGACAAAAACAGCCTTTGAACCCAGGCTGTGAGCTTGACTGCTATCCTGTGAGCTCAGCTTCATCACACCAAGCAACTTTTAGAAGTTTAGTTATTTGAACTGAGACAAAGGTTATAAGGGGAAAAAGCTGTCTTGGCCCCCAAAAGGCTAGTTCCAGATTCATGATACTAGATGCCACTGCTTTCAAGCTTGTAGCCTATAATCAACTCACATTGAAAACAGATTTATGAGCTCTTCAGAGGAGAGTTTTGTGATTTTCTAAAGCAGACACATTTGGTATTTTAGAAGGTCAAACCCCCTATGGTGTGGTGTTTTTAATAAAATCAGTTCAGCAGAAATTAGAGACACATTAGTCAATTTCTAGAAAGCCTCTGAGCCATTCAAAATAAGGGGGTAGGAGGAAGAACATAAAAGACATAATCATGTTCAGATCAAATTTTTTTTAAAGGGATAGAATGTAAGGGATGTAGATACAAAAACATGGCAAATTTGGTCCCGTTTGTCTTGATTTGGGCAAATTTACACTTAGAAATGGGGGAGTTTTATGTCAATATTAAACAAGGGCTGTTCCTGGTTAGCCCAGCCTTGTACTGACACCTCAAAGTAACAGTAAACATGTCCATGAGGGAAAAACAAATAAACCAGTCATTACCATTCTTACATCACTGCATCAGGTAGGTAGTTATTTCATGAAGGGTCCTTTATCTTCACTCTTGGCAACTTCTACACTCTCATAGGAAAGCAAAAGGAGAAACTATATTTAGTTCTTAGTAAAATTCAAAGTTGGGAAACCTGCAATATTTTCATTGAAAGGCTAAGTTATGCCTAGATCTGACTGTAAGACATGTGCAAATACTAAATGAATGACAGGATTTAAAAGAAGAGGATTGTTATTATCAAAAGAGACAAGGCCAGTCTATTAAATGGCTGGAACATGAGCACCAGAACACCCAGTCTGACAGAGCACGGGCACAGTGCCACCACCCCAGAGAAAAGGGAGATGCAAACAGTTTCATAAATTTACAGTATAAAGAAAAAGGCCCAGATGAAGAAACATAGAACCAAGTGAAGACACTTCATTTACCTTCAAGTTGTGTGACTTTAGCTTTAGCCTGGACCCAGGCCTTTTCTGGAATATGGAATTTGTGGGTTTCCAGGTGTTTCTAAGCACATGAATTTAAATCCTTCATTGCTATATTCCTTAATGAATTGATGAGTTCTTTGTTAACTGGTACTTGGAAGAAACTGAATGAATAGAGAATAGCAGGGCAAGCAGGAAATAACTCCACAGAAGTGAGGTAAAGGCTGGCTAATTAAAGAATCATTGAACTTGTATGGTGTTGTACATGAAATGAGAAGGCATAAGGAGCAAGTCTTTTAACCTAAGGTTACACAATTCCTTGGCTCCCTCAGAAATTGACACACATAAAACTTATCACATAAATTGTTAAGGCATGAATGCACAAACTGTCAATCTCAAAAAGCACAAAACAAATCTGTCATTTATTAAGATGCATATTTATTCCATAGCCTAATTTAGTTGGGCTGTGGTCTATTAACTATTAAATAATCTAAGTACTCATCTTTAGATTAGTCCTTTCAATTCATATTCTTCCATGAGCTTGGCTACTGCATCTGTCTTCAGGGACCCAAATTATGCTCATCATAAAATATTCCAGACGACATTTTTTAAAAACTCTATAATATTCATAAAAGAAAACCCCTTACTCAAATATGTAGGCAATAGGTAATTAAGCAAAAGTTTCCAATATACAAAAGAATTGAGGGAAAACCCTACATGGCAAATTATTCTTTTAAGATTAAAAGAATCCATTTGGGAGAAAGGTACACAAATGTGACATGGGTTTATACTCAGGCTAGGCAGTGTTGCCAGACAGAAAGTTCTACAGGAGCGGAAACACTGGTGTATTAAGTTAGTGGCTAAAGTTTGGTTATGTTAATAAAAGGATCACTTGGAGAAGAAAAACTAGCAGCACTGTGTGTTATTTAAATCTCAATTGATATATAGTGTTCACTATGGAAAACCTTTCTAAAATTTCATTATAGAAAATAAGATAAAATATTAGTATAACACCGTGTTTAAAGATGTTTTGGAGTCCAAAATATTTAATTCGGTTTCAGACAGAGTAAACAGTAGAAGTAGGCAGTGACTAACTTTACCAAAATAAGTTTGTTTTTTTTCCTGGTTGGAGGTAGACATATTTAAAAGTATTAAAGAGCAAGTGGATCAAGTTGATAAGTAATAGTAGGCTTGCTAAGGCAACTTCAATAACAGATCAATCATACCTGACCTGGTATAAATATGCTTAAGATTTCTCTTAGATAAAAGTTAAAAAACAGAATGATCCAAACAAAAAATGTGGGTAAGACACTTAAATAAATGATGGGCAGTCCATTTAGATATTCTACATGCTGTAGGAGAATTACACATCTGCACGTAAGAACAAACAAGATTTTGGTCTCGTTTTTGAAACAAAAGAAAGGAAGACCAAGCCAAATCCTTTAGATAGACCCTACTCTGAGCAACAGATCTTCATTTATATAGTTAACATGTAGTGTCTTACACTTCCCACTTAGTTTTTAATTTATGACAAGACACTGTTCAATTTCAGACAAAAATATAGATATATATTTTTAAATCTTTTTTACAATAAATCAAGATGTAGGAGCTTACATGGAACACATTTTAGTTTATTTAGGTACTCATTCCAGCTCCCTCAGATGCAAATCACCTTGGTAACAGTGTGTACATAGTCTTCTCTTTGCTTTTTATAATTTCAAAGCAAAAAAATTCATTTGACTGTATGTAAGTCTGTGCAAATAATCCTTCAGAAGAAACACCCAAGATTCTGTTTGCAGAGGTCATTTTGTCTCTCAAAGTTGATTACGTGAGTTTGTTTTTCTTCAGATAAAGTGCTCCTGTCCAGCGGAACTCAAAGGCCTTCAAGCGTCCAAGAAGCTCAGTTCAGATAAGACATGGTCATACGAATTCCAGCTTCCCGTGCCCACTATACATGCCCCAGTGAACGAGGGAGAGGATCTTGTCGTTGCTGAGGTCTGCTTGTCTCATTTTGTCACAGGTCAGACAGCAGTTCTCATGCCCACTCACCGGCACCATGCATTCCAAGTCCAACTTTGCAACCTGCCCCTTTTTAGAATGGTGTCCGTGAAAGCTGTAGTGCAAACGGGAGAGCATCTGTTGCCGCTGATCCCGCAGTCTCTTGTTTTCACTTCGCAGCATCCTCAAGGCCAACATAATAAGCAACACTAAAATCAGCCCTCCAGCAATAGGAACAGCAATCACTGCTGCCCGGAACCACAACTCCTTGGAAGAAGTCAGCTCCTGCACTTTGGTGATGAGGTTTCTGCTACCATCGTGCTGATACCGGTTTCCTTGTCCTAAAGGAGCACAAGCAAAACTATGTTAACTCTTCCTGTACACATATATTCAAACTCACCTATCCATTTTAAACCAGGCACCCCAATACATAGCCTACAATTAAGTCAACCCTATTTAGGAAATAAATGTTGCAAAAACAATGCAAAAGATTACAAAAACATCTGTTTACAGACTCTCATTACAGAGTATTAGTGGTCTTTTAATGTCTTCCAACTTGAAAAAACAGGCAAAACCTATTATGTAGACAGACATCTAATGCTCAAGCAGACATAAAAGCTACTCAATAGAGATGCATCTGTGCATTCAGCCATTCTTCTCCCTCTGCTGTCTCTAATTAGATTAACAACAGAATCAATAGCAGACATACAAAGTCTTGGCTGTCACAAAACTGTATAGATCAGGCAAGCATTCTGGTTAGAAAGCGCTACCACCTACCTGAGGCCTCTCCTCTGGGAGAAGAGAGAACGTCATGCAGCCCTCTGTAATTGCACATATCTTCATGACAGCATTCCAGTGTGGGTGTGGCGGTGCCGGAGTGGTTTTGTGCCCGTTTGGTTTGGCAGATGTCTGCTGTGCTTGCGAGAGTGTCCAGGCAACCATGGGTGAGCGGGGAATTTGTGTTCTGAGGATCGAGAAGCTTAGAGAAGCAGGCACTCAGCTCCGACTTACACATATAGCCAGTCGCCACACAGTGGGCAGCATCACAGTAGCATCTGATTTCCCCTGGAAACAATGAGAAACTGCATCAGAGACCAGATAATGTGTCTGCTTAAGGGAATGCTAAATCCCAAGCTCAAAGGCACTTTTAGAATATTCAGCTGAGTGCTTACAACAGCAGCAGACCATGCAGACTGGGAAAGCCCTTTGTGTAAGCCTGTGCTTTCATTTCAACCCAGTTAAGTACAATTTTAGAAATGCATTCACCCCAGTAGCAGAGAATCAAAGTTCAATTTGGGTTTCTGTTAAGTTAGTAATTAAAAATAATACTTTTGTTTGAGAGGGAAAATAATAATCACAATAACTTCTCCTACAATAAGGTAAAATTACATCATTTACTCAATCATGACCATACAAAATGAAAATGCTAGGCTTTTTTATTTTGTCAGTATAAATATTTGATCGGAACTACTGAATTGTTTACTGCCTCGAGGGGCTGTGCCAAGATTTAAGAGCTTTAGCTAACACTTTATAAAGTTATTAACTAGAAACACAACAATCTAGAAACTGCTCCAGTCAGGAGGTTTTAAAACTATGAAACTGGGCAGCTATTTGCAACCTCTCTAGAAAAGGCAAACTTTGCCTATAAAGATCTTTTCATGCAGAGGAGCTTTTAGTATATTGTAAAACAGGAACTAGGCAGTTTACAATTAGTGGTTTGCTTGCCAAAGTCAATTTCTTTCAGCCCAAATGGAAAGTCATAAATCTGGGGGTGGAGGGGAGAATGTAAAAACTGCAAGGCTAACCTCTCCTCCCCCTAAACTCCCCCGTTTTACATGTAATTCAACATGGGATCTAAACGGGGAAACACAATCTGAAAATCCTCTGCTGGTTCAATGAAAAATCCTTAAGGAAACCTCAAATTTTCTACAGGAAGTGATTAAAGTTTCCTTTATAAAACTTACTTTGTGAGTTACTATTAACCTTTTGCTGCAGTGTAAGATCTGACGCTTTTAACATCAATTTCTAGTTGAATTAACCTGGGTCTCAGAGTTATCACTAGTATGATTTCCCACCCGGTGGACTCCAGTCATTGTCACATGCCACAGCTAAAGCTACTGTAAATTAAACTAATGCACACACCTCTCTCCAGCTTCCCAATCTGACGTTCTGTCTAGTTACTGAAACCGCCACTCTGAAACTAAACCCCTCTTCCTACCCTTTACTCCTCTCTGCGAATGCCTGAGTAAGGTGTCTCATTTAATTATCTGTCCAAATTCCAGGCCACCGTATGGCATGCTCAGTTTTCACCAGAGGCTGCTAATGCTTCAGTTCTAAAAAGTCTTGCCAACTCTATGTAGATCTCCGGCAAGCTAAGTTTAACGGTACAAAGCTGGAGGTCTTGCTGCTATTCTAAATTTCTGTATCTACACTCCCTATCCTGGGTCTGGGGCCCAAGACCCTTCTCCAGGAAGACCTTCAAGATAGGAACTTGCTTTGTAGAGGTTTTCTCCTCTTTCCAGCTTGATTTTTTTTTTTTTTTTTTTTTTTTTTTGCATAAAGCTCACTGGTATTATGTGATTGATGATAACTACATGTCCTCAGTCTGACAAACCCCATATAGAGATTTAAGGTTGAAATAAAACAGATTAAAAGTCTGTTTTGATCCTATTCACCCCAGACCTCATGCAGAAAGAAGAAAAAAAAAACTGAATGCAAGTGAAATGCTGCTTAAATGTTTATGAGAGCCTATTTAACATACTACATTTTCAATGACCTAAAACAGTCTAATAAAATTTTGACAGGTAACTAGAAAAGTTCTAACGACTTTTTAAAAAAGAAATTGGAGCCACATTTGAGCAAGTTGAATTAACTTTTGTATTACTGTATTGAAACTATATTTCTGTTTCATAAAGTTTCTTCCTGTGGCATACAAAAGGCCAGAGAGGCGACTGGTCTTTTGAAACAGTGAACAATGCTCTTTCTGTTCCCCCCCCTCACTTTTTACTGTATGTAGTGATTAAACAAAAATGTCTGCTTTAGTCAAGATGGCTACAGGAGAGACTGCAGGCTTCTTTTAAAGCTTTTGAAGTCAGCAGCAGTCAGAAATCTCTGATCCCCTAATTATATCATTATCAGGCACATAGTTTCGGTATCTGTGACTTCACGTCAGCCTCAGTCCCTCCCCGCGCTGCCCGCCTTTGATAGGACCGGGAGGCTCCCCTCTCGGGCTGAGAGGGCTGTTATTTAGGGTTAATTACACCCTTCCTTCCAAAATAAATAAATACTGTAGCACATCATCCTTGCTGGGCTGGCTTATCCTTTAACCTCATGCCTGCTACATGGCAATTAGAGAAAAGTGGAGGGTGCAAAGCTAAACAACACTTCCTATTTAAAAAAAAAAAAAAATGTATGTGTAGTTCCCGGCAGGGTAGGTGGGGTAACCTTGAGAACTAGATGGAGTTTGGGTTATTTCAAACTAAAAGGTGAAAGTCTGCAGGGGAGAAAAAATAAACTAAGCGCTGTTTTGTTATTGCTTTTCAGTAGCTTTTGTGCAATACGAAGTGAGTGGGAACTGGGACCACTGACAGAGCCTTCTCCTCCCAGCCACTAAGAAGAGCACGCCTGCACACTGCACACACACACACACACAGAACACACACCGGACACCTCGCTCCAGGAGGGAGGCTCGCACTCGCTGGTTCACAGAGACGCTCACTGGGAGACGGAAGGAACGCTCCTGAGCAGAGGCACATTCAAATACAAAGGCGGACTCAGAGAGAGAGGTACATATGCAAATCCAGACACACAACACACACATTCAAATACGAAGATATATTCAAACACAGAAACAGATTCAAAGAGAGCGACACACTCACTGAGAGACACGCGCCGGGCACGGCGCAGGGGGGAGAGGGGTCCGCGGTCCCTCCGGGCTCCCCCGCCCCGGGCAGGCGGGCAGGCGGCGCCCGAGCCCCTCACCCCCGGCCCGCTCCCGGCCGCAAACATTCTTAGGTTCAGACAGACAGACTGACTGACACCAACACCGTGACAACCGCTCGCCCCGGGGTCAGACCGCCCCTCCACGAGCCGGGCCCGGGACACCAACCCGATTCGGCTGCGAAGCCACCGCCGCGACTTCTAAGCAGCAGCGACTTGTCGTGACCTGCGGCCCCGGCGCGGGGGGGACGCCTCGCCCGCCGCCCACAAAGCCCGGCGGCCGGCTTCCACCCCCGGCTTCCACCCCCGGCTTCCACCCCCGGCTCCCATCCCCGGCTCCCATCCCCGGCTTCCACCCCCGGCTCCCATCCCCGGCTCCCATCCCCGGCTCCCATCCCCGGCTCCCACCCCGGGCTCGCAGGGCGGCCGCCCGCCCGGGACCCCGCGCCCTGCCCGCCGCGGACACCCACCTTTGGTGAGCAGCACGGCCATGGCGCAGAGTTCCAGCTGCAGCCAGATGAAGATGTAGCTGGAATGGCGATCCATTGACGCGCCCACGGCCGCGGAGCCACCCGCCGGTGCCGGAGCCGCGGGCAGCGGCAGCCTACGCCTCCCGGCGCGCGCCGCGCATGAGGGCAGCCCGGGGCGGGCGCCGTCAGCGGGGCGAGGGGGCCGGCGGCGCCCGGAGCATGGGAAGCGGCCGGACGGTGTGCCGAGGACCCGAGACGGCCGGCCGACGCCACGGACACCGGTTCCTTCCTGCGCTGGGGCCGCGCTCGGGGTTGAGCTCGGGGATCCTCTCCTTCCCGGCAGCTGGCTCCCGCTGCGCCCGCCTCCTCAGCCGCCGCCGCCGTAAATACCGCTCCGCCCGGGAGCCGGCCCGGCGCCGCCCCGCCCCCGGCCCGCGCCAGCGCTGTCCGATTGGCTGACGGGCTCAGGTCAATCATCCCACGCCCAGGGGGCGGGCCCAGACGCGGGCGGGGCAGACCTGCCTCCGGCTCCTCGCAGCGCCGGCGTCTGGCCCGGCCGCTCCCCGCCCCCGCGCCGTGTGTCCCGCGCTCCCTCTAGCGGAGGCCCGCCGGTCCCTGCCCTTCGCGAGTCGCGCGGGGCCGCTGTGTCCATCTCCGGACCCTCACAGCTCAGCCTGGAGCCAGCGCCCCCAGCCCGGGCCTTCTTTTCTGTTCCCCCTGAAACCCGCGAGGGGCCCGCGTGGCCGCCTCCCAAAGCCCTCCCCCGCCTCTGCGCTCTGGGAGCCCCAGGGACGCGGCGGCCCCCGGCGTGCGCTCCTGCCCGGAGCCGCGGGCTGGCGTGTGGCGGTGGAGCGGGAAGCAGAAAGGGGCCTGGAAGGAGGCTCGGGTTTGCTTTCAGCTCCCCTCCCTCCCCACACACACACTTTCCCCCCAGTGCATCCTCTAAGAGCCGCCTGCCCTGTGATCAATAAAGCCCAGACAGACAGACTGTTGATCAGTAGGAGACGCTGAGTTCTCCTGGGTAGACAGGGGACGAGTAGAGACACTTAACAAAAATTAGCAAATCCAAAAAGCACCCGGCGCCAGCGAGACGACACAGGCCCGGGCTGACGCGCAATTAACCACCCCCCTAACAAACGCAGGCAAACACTCGCCGACCTTGATCAATATCAGCCCCTCGGCGGTCTCCTTTCTGAATTGCTAATTCATTTATTAGGTCTTTGGGGCTGCCTGCCCCCAGTGTACCCAAAAGCGGTCCTAAATGGTTTTGCTGTTGTTTTTTAAATTTTTCGGAGGGAAGACTCGGCTTAAAAGTGTTATCTGAGGAAATGCTTTTACCCCTCGTTCTCAAAACTTGAGATTAACAAAAGTCAACCATTTGCAAAATTTCCTTTTAGGATTAACCGAGGTTGCCCTATCTGATAAAATGTCAAGGGGGGAGGAGATGGGCAGAAGAGAGCATTCAATGCTAAATTGGGAGATGCAGAGTCACCTCTTCAGGACTAGAGTGCAAAATTGGGCTTTAAAACTAAGAAAAATATGTATGTCTCAAGGCGAACCTTGTAAATTAAACTTGTTGAAAGTCCACGGAACTGCAGCTTGTACTTAATGAAGTTGTCTTTGAAAAGTAATGTTTATATGCAGATAAAATAAGATGATTTCATAAACAGATGCTCTGACCATTCCTTCACTAGGTCAACATTGCCTCCAAAAGGATGGGACAGTAAATCCAGTAGAAGTTTTAATAGGAAATCAAACCAGATAGGGCACCAGGTAAACTGCAGGCATATCTCACGTGGTGGACAGACTGTCATTTCTTGAAGAGGAATTAGATAAGAACTCCCTGATACCTAATTCTTTATTGAAGTTAACACTTCTAAGGGGTTCATACAGACAATACTTTCCATGCAATGACACATTTTTAACTTCAGATAGTCAAATCGTTAACTAAAAGGAAACTGAGAGTACCTATGTGTTCATTCAGCTGTTTTGGAGCGCCCACTATAGGCCAGGCTCACTGTGTCTGGGGTTATAAAGATGCCAAAACCTAAATAGGAGCTTGGGGCAATGGAGCTTGAGGATGGTAGGGATGTACTTGCACAATGTTTTGAGCATAAAGAAAGAAAATAACTAGCTCAGGAAGATAAAGATATTAAGAAGGTCTGCTGGAAGCAGTAACATTGGACATGCCTCCTAAAGAATAAAGAGATTTGGAAGAAGACTTTTACAAAACCACCAGAATTTAGGCATGAAATTCATTGATTTCGTTAGGAGATATGGGTACTGAGAATGAATAGATGGAACTATAAGCAATTCTTTGTTACTGAAGCATAACATGCCCCAGAAAATAACTATAATTGCCTGTGATGCAGAAAAAAAAATGCTTATTTAATGGAAAGGGACTAGGAACATGTGTTGATGAAAGTTGTATTGTAGTAAACATTTCTGAGTACCTACCCAACCCCTTCCCTAGAGCAGAATTAAGGAACTGCCCTCTGGCTATACCTAGTCACATGGCCCCAGTTGGGCCAATTAGGTTCTCTCTTCCTCATCTTTCGACAGAGATGCTGGGCAATCTCTAGAGATCACTTCATAGGACACATAGAAATTCAGTGTTCACTGATGGTCCAAGAAAGAAAAAGATGACAAAGATGTGCAGAATGGGAAATATTCAAGTCCAAATTATTTCCAGCCACATGTCTTCACATCCTGTCCTTAGGTTCCATGGTAATTCAGGCACCTTAAAATTCGACTTTGCACTTGAAGTTCTTTAACTTTCAACCCAGAGGGATCCGAATATAATGAGCCTTATATTTTATTTAATTATTATTGACTTTTATACTTTTTTTGTTCCAAACACAATTCAAAATAAAAACATGTGATTCATTCTTCAGACAATGATTTCAACTCTTTTACTATTATTACTAAAGGCCCAGTGCATGAAAATTCATGCACTCGGAGGGATCTCTCAGCCCAGCCTGCACGCTCTGACAACCTAGGACCCTGTAGGGTCCGTTCCCACGGCTTCCTCCCGCCGCCGTGCAGCGGGCTCCCTCCGCGGGAGGCCAGGACCTCGCCTGGTGTTTGGTCATCTGTCTGGATGTTTAGGTCGTGATGGACCCTGGCTCTTTATATTGTATATTAGGATTAGTTTAATGGGCAGAGTTTTTAAATGGCTAGAAATTAGTTATAAGAGAAAAAAGTCTGCACTTTTTTCTAATGTTTTGGAGCAGACATTGACTTTTCAACTAAATGGAGGAGACTGTTTGAATCAATGTGGAAAATCAAAATTGGTTTAGGGAGAATATGTCAATTGAAAGGACATAAGAATAGTTGAGAGAATAGGCAACAATTTTAATTAAATTTAAAGTGAGTAAAATTGCTTCTCTGCAGAGTTTTACTTGTGTTTTATACATAATCCAGTTATTACTTTCCTATACGTAGGTTGGTAAGTAGAGGGGAAAATAGTAAAATCTAGTTAGTGTCTTTTGGAAATTTAAATCAAGTAATCAGTGACCACAATTTACTATTATAAAGGGAATTCTGAAAATACAAACTGGGAAACAGCTGTCTATATCTTAGAACAGAAAACTGATTCTAGATTTAACAAATGGAAATAATTAAACATTATAATAGTTTTATTTTATTAACTCTAAAGTGTTTTAAATATGATTTATCCATGGATATAGTATAATCTACATAATCACAACATGCCACTATGATAATTTTCATGGTTGTCTTACACAAATAACTTCTCAAATATCATTTTTCTTATAAAAGAAAAAATAAAAAACAACCACAAGAGTTTTTATGTCCCAACCCATTTTGTTAACAAAGCTGTAGCTATTAACCTCTGCTTACCAAATAATGCCATTGTTTTCCGCAGTTATATGTAATCCCCATTTTCAGCAATACCTCTCTCTTCACAGTGCAGATGAAAAATAACGCAGTGTATTTTGTTCAGAGAGAAGCAGCTGTGTTCAAGTTCCAGGCTGTCAAATAAACAACTGTTGCAGTCTAGCAATAGAATCTAGCACTTCTGCCTGTCATACAACTCTTCCACCAACTAACAGTCCTTAAGGTTTAGGTAACATTTTGAATTCCCAATAGCAGCATTTTTACAAAGTCATTTGTACTCAGTAGAAGTTAGAAGTTTGGATCTAAACTTTAATTGGAATGAGGTCAGAGGTGAGAGGAATGATTGTCTAGTGAAGCTGGACTGTACTGGACTTTAATATGGAACAGAAACTATGGGCAACAGCCTTAATTCTAGCCCTGCTGAAGACAAGATTAGACTGCTTCCAGGGCAAGGTGGACAGAGATGGGACCTTTGGAGGGAACTCCCTTAACTTTATATCATCACTAAAGCTTTCCATGAAACCCCATGCTCCGAGCGGGAGAGGGGAGAGATGGGGAAAGGGGCTCAGGAAATTCACTTCCTCCAATAAGTTTTGTGTCATCTATATTTTTAGCCTATCATTTCAAAGACATCATTTAAAATGTGCACATTTATAGTACATTCTTCAGTCAAACTTGTTTGATTAAAAGGAGGAGAGACCCACTTAAGATTAATTAACTTTGGAGGGGTTTCTTGTGCAGTTACAATAGGCTTATTGTAAAGATTCAACTAATTGGTAATTTATAAGCTTTATTTATCTTCTCAGGAAGCTAGTCTTCCTGGAACTGGAAACTAGACTTAGATCTCTTTTCTCGGGGTTATCTTTGGTTCTCACCGCTTCACCAGTGAGCTGGCATTTTTTTTTTTTTTTTTCTCATCTCTAGTTTTTGCTCTCTCATAACTTCTGCTTGGTTTTATCCAATTTTGCATAGAGGCAATGCTCAAAAGATTGTTTTGCCTTCTGCCACTATTGTAAACTACTTTCCCCCTTCAGTTTCCCAATTCCCAATTTCTCAGGTGAATCTGACATGCAAATTACATGGGTTTTGTTCAGTTTATGGGCTGCCCAAATGCTTAGTCCATGGTCCATTCAGCTAAGGCAGGCCCTGGCTGATCTACAACATGCTGCTGCCTGCCATCAGGGTGTGGGCAGGGAGATCAGGTGGAAGGAGGTACAATTGTGAATATGTGAAACACAGAATTTATTCTTGTATTACTGTTTATTATTGTGTTATTTCCTATATGAATAAGTATAAATCTATTTTTGTCCCACCCTGTTATAAAATATATATGATACATTTAAAATTAATTTACTCAGCTCTAAAAAAAAAGTATTAATGAGTGAAATTAAGATCATTCCTTTAAATTATTAAGTCAGTGTGGGTGTTTGCTGTCATTAAGAGTAAACTCAGTGTAAGCACATGAAGATGGCCCATCTTATTACAGA